CCTGCATCGGTCCTGCGGCGGTGTCGGCTCAAGTGATGACCCATCCATTGCTGTCGAGCAATCTAGAGAAAGGGTCGCTGCCCAGAACGTGGATATGTCCCCAGCGTCTGGTTTGAGAACCCGATCGAACCACCAATTGTCAAGGGACCATGAATTTTCGATGAGAAATGAAACCCGGCTAGCTTCAGACCAAAGGCGCGGAAATCTTCGAGGGAAAACTTCCCGTAGCGTAAAGACGCTACATCTGAATATGGAATGAAAGCCGTTGCCCGCTCCCCCGGCCTCGCTGGCTGGCCCTTCGTCCTCACGGCCTTGTCCGGGCTACTGCTGGCTGAGGATCGACGGCGAGGGACCCCATGGCGATTGCTTCAACTGTGCACAAGAGACGCCATTTACGTTCCCAAAGGCTTGGTACGTTATGTGACTGTGTAGTTGAAAGTTCTTGTGCCATTCCCAGATGTATATTTGTCCTCTGCTGCAACGGCGCCGTGATGGAACCACACCTGACCATGCTCCCGTCCGTCTCGTACGGCCGAGAGTAATTTTTTCTTTCTTGACCAAGCCAGCAGCCCAAGCATACCGTAGGTAAAAATCATGCGAAGGAGGAGCTGGAGCTGAAGCTGCAAGTCTACATCCATTGGCTGATTCTTCAGCCCGTTTCGCTCTCTGACCAGCGCAAGGGCATGGGTTAATCGGTCGTTGTGATCCTGACGACAGACGGCAGATATAGAAGAGCGTCCAACGTGTGCATCCGGCGGTACGCCTAGTTCGCGGGGAAGAAGAAAGGTGTTCCGCTGCAGGTCAAGACAAGTCAGACACAGTGTGATAAGTAAGTATTCGTACAACGGGCTCCGACCACAATCCGCGAGCAGTACTCCGTACTCCGTACATGCTCCGTACATGCTCCGTACCTCGTAGGAGGCAACAAAGCCAGGTTGGGTTAACGCCGAACACGCGGTACACCGCACGACGATTTCCCTCCATGTTAGTTGATGGGCCGATGTCTCCTTGACCCGTACGGATACAGCATGGGTGCATGGATGCCAGTTCTACAGACCGCGGAGCGTCCTTGCCCTGTCTTTCGGAGTTCTGATGGGCCCACCCACAAATGCTGTCGCAGCAGTCCATTTCTCGAGGAAAACGACGGGTTGTGGCAGACAGTGCGAAAGCCGAACAAGTGATGATTGTGTATCCAAACCCAGCATATTATAAGCTATGTGCGGATACCGCACACAGATCTGACGTGGAAAACCATGTGTGCATGCCGGTGACAGTTGCTTTGGCCAGAGGGCCACATCAGTGCATCGCGTCTCCTTTGTTGTGCAGCAGCGGTAGACCAGTAACTACCAGTTACAAGTCAACAGCGTTGAGAGTGAGTTGTCTCTCCTCTTCTGGATCTCGGCCAAAAAAGGAATAGGCTTGCGGCTCGCCCATTGTCAACTTGTCAAGGTTCGGCGACCTGGCGAACCAACGCGTTGCCGAGTGAGACGAGCGGAAAACGGGTGGGGGCCCATTGTACTAGCCTGCGGGAGCAGCGGCTGGTACCTGGAGTAAGGGAACCGGCGTCTGCCCTGGGCGTCTTCGGCCACATGTCTGGGCTGGTTGATGTCCTGTAAGGATGGAGACGGTGACGCCTGGTGGTGATGAAGTTGCCCCTTTGGTACTGGTAGTTTTCCGGCAGCGGATGAGGTGGTGATCTTCGCAGGCAGGCCAACCCAAAGTAACTGTCAGACGTTCCTCTTTCCGAGGTTGGCGATGCGGCAGCTGCAGTGGCTGCCCCAGACTTGCATCGCAGCGTTGCGTTTTGGGAGTCGCTGAGCAGAATCGGGAAAGCGTGGGACAGCGAGGCACCCCACCATTCTGTCAGTTGATCACAGCGAGCGACGTGCTGCGAGACTGCGAAAGCCTCCAGTCCCCAGTAGGTAAGCCCAAGAGGGAAGAGAAAAAAAAAAAAACCGACGCGATTTTGGCGTCGTTGAGCTGCGTTAGCGCGGCCGGGCTCAAGGGGCAGGCGACAGCAAAACGACAGGGGCCGCTTGCACCCACGAATCGCAGCGGCCTATTCTGGCAGTCTGACCGGGGCAGATGTCGGAAAGGGTCAGTAAAGAGGAGGGCCCCAAAGCAACTCGTCCCAATTCATCGCCGTCTCTGCTCTCCTTTTGTCCAGGCCCGGCCTTGGAGCAGCAAAAGGCAGACAAAAGCGACAGTCGGTCTGCGCAGCGGCGGGCCTCAGCGGCCGGGAATGGTCGCAATGGTTGCTCCATTCGTCGCGTGGCAGCATGGGCAGTCATGTATCCTCACAGCAAGCAGGCCGCTGGGAGCAAGCAAGAGAGAGGCACGACTGACGATGACTGCCGTCTGCTCTGACGATTGCGCGGGAGGCACCTTCCAGGCGCCCCGGGTGAGATATGCACCAGCGGTGCTCAGGTTCGGACGGATGTGATTGAATGGGCTCGGATTGGACAGGATGGGCTGGCAGGCTGACCAAACCAGGTTGGGACGGCAAAAGATGATTGCTCAGTTGGCCAGATATGGTTGGTGTATTCTGATCCGGTGTCGTGGTTTTGCTTTGGTGCTTTGGGTGCCGTCGTAACACGGGCGGGAAGTGGACGGCTGAGTGGACGCGGACTGAGGTCGCAGTGGCGCACCGGGCATGTGTTGCTGTGACATGGCTCTAGTCAGTACCGTTCCTGGCGATCGGTGGTAGCCCGTCCATGTCGACCTCGGACCAAGATGTCGACGATGTTGGCGGCTGGCACCCGACTGAGACCTGCGATTGTCCTGCACGCTGCCTGACAAGTGTGTCTGTACTCTGCATATCCAAGGCAGATGGGGATTTGCAATAACCCGAGACAGAGAGCGACGTAATTATCCACTATCGCAGGCTTTCAGAGCAAAGCCGCAAACCACGAGCGAGCCCGTGGGGAGGCCAAGGATAGGTAGAGCCGGATACCGCAAAGCCGCCATCTGCGGCGTAGAAGAAGAAAGTAGGCTGTCGATCCGTGTGGGTAGAGGGGGGCGGCGGCAGTGGCAGCAAGGATTGGGTGGTGGTGAGGCTGCTCGGATTGCTGAATAGGCAGTCGGTCTGTAGGTTGTGAGAGGGCGAAGAAGCCGACTTGGGTGGTTCATTTTGCAGAAATGACGATGGCAAGTGACGTGACGGCCCAAGCTCAAGAGGGCTACCAAACTCGAACGCATGAACTTGTCATCGAAAGTCGAGGGAGCAAAGAACTGTCAAAGAGCGCTATCATGGTGTGTGTCCGTACGTAGTAGTGTAGCAGTAAAGGTGTACTCCGTAGTCTGTATCTTGGGCTGGCATCCCATCTGTTCAGAAAGGCGCAGGGTTGGTGTTTCTTGAAGTGCCGTGCTGCGGGTCGTGGTGTAAGCACCTTCTGAAGCTGAAAGCCGACTGCAAGGTATCCGTATCCGTAGGGGAAAAGGTAGGTATCAGCCCGCAGCTCCCATTCCTTTCAGATTGTCGATTTCCATGTTGGGAGTGCGAAATGCAGTGGAAAAGCCAGTCACGGCAAGTGTACCTTGATAAGTTCAACCTGCCACACTTTCTTCAGTGGGGCCGCAACTTTGCGGCAAATGCACCTGAACCTTGCCGTCGACGTTCCTCTGGAAGGGATTCCCTTTCTCTAGACTCGTAGCTTGCACTTTGCAGTGTTGCACAGGCTTCCGGGGAGCTCAGCACGAGATGCGCCAACGAGTCCGTGTGGTTTTTTTCTGCTTCCATGGCTCGGGCAAGGTAGGCCGCCGGCACAGCTGAGCTGAAGCGGAACCAAACAAATCCAAGAAGACGAGGCCATAGCAGGCGCGTATGCTCGTGAGGTGTCGTGTCGTGTCGTGTCGTATGGGATGATGATGGATCTCGATCTGGTGGGTTATTGATGGATCCTATGCGTCCCTTGATGTAAATCTCCTCTCTCCCTCAGTTTTGTTTCCCCCTTGGAGTTGGGGCGAGGCTAGGTAGGAAGAGAGTGAGGCCCTCGCCTTGTCGATAGATTACTGTAGGTAATGTCGTTGACGGTTGGGAAGTGGTCGTAGACAGGCCGCACAGTCCTGAGCACTGTCTCTCGACCGGGCACGGCGGATAGTGCGTGCAATTAGACAGTCGCTATGTCTCTTCTCGTTGGTCTCTCGTCTTGTTTATCCAAATGGTCCGTGTGATGCTTGGTCGTGTCAATCAATGCCACACTGTCTAGCCTGTCGGTGGAGATGGGCGCCGGGACAGGCAGAGTGAGGTGCAGTAGACCAAGGGGGACGAAGGTGGGGGAGGAAGCTCCAAGTGGAGTGGAGGTATTCCATAAGGTACCTTGTCTGTATACGTACTCTGTGCTCCATGTGCTCCATGTGCTCCATACGGATACCTCCTTGCCCTGAAGACAAACCACATGACCTGGGCTTCCAACCTGATGTTCTGACATTGAATTACCTAAGGCAGGAGACAAAGTCTCAGGTATCTTTTCCATCATCCCCGACCAACACGTGTGTCAGCGGGGGAAGGTGCTGACATAAGACAGGAACGGATAGCACTATGGTCTATGCGTCCTCGTAATTAATTACTATCCGTACTTTAGTCTGTCAAGTGCTCCGGACACAGCTAAGGTACCTTACCTTCCCTTACACTCAGGCATCTGCAAGTACCTTACTTTACTCTGTATTGGTACCTTTCCTCTCAACACACCTTTGCGGCCTCATCTCAATGCCTCCAGTCCACTCTCTTTCTCAGTCGCTCTCTTTTTTTGCATACCTCCTTCATCTTGTCGGTCATAGTTCATCCATGTGCTTGACGTTTACCGTCACTGGTCATCACCGAGGTACTCAAACGAGCAGTTGCGGAAACCAAGGTGAGAAAGGGGGAAGGGAGAGCCTCTACTTTGTACTCCTTGACTTCTCAGGCTTTGGAGCTGGAGCATCGCGCCAACTCTCATCTTACCAATCGTCTAGTGAGCACTAAGCAAGAGCCGGACTTGTCAACTCGACCCGGCAACTAACTAAGCCGTCCGCGCCCGTCCCCCTCTCAGAAAACATTTTTGCCCCTCTCTCTGCGCTCTATCCTGTTGTTTTAGCTCCAACAAAACGCTTCTTCCACCGCCCAGAGAAACCAGTGTACAGAGTAGCGCCTGCTGTCTGCGCAAGTGCAACGCGGCAAATTACACGCCGCAGCGGCATAAACACCATGACCCTGTAGCTTGTGTCTGGTGCGAGCTCATCCGAAGTTTCTTCCTACGCTTCATTTTATCTTTGCCCGTCACAGACGATGGACAAGACATACTCACTCACACACACACACACACTTCTCGGTACAAACAGTAACACTCATCGACGCAGCACAGACTTCAGCTATCTTCGCCTCTTCGGATCAGATGATGCCATTGGGATCGTCGTGACTGTCCGGCTTGACCTGCCCCGCCTGTCTCGTCGTCTTCTTTTCTGCAATTCTACCCTCCACAACCTGAACCACTTCTTCAACTGCCCTCTCGTCGTCACCCCTTCCGGCTTCGGGTTGAGTCGAGTCAAGCCGATACACTGCCTGTCCCTTTCGGTCACATTCTCGCCACTTTTCGAGAGCCCCTTCGAAGCCGACGGGATGCTGTCCGTTTGCCCGTCAAAGTACCGACTCTCTCTCTATACACTACATCAACGCTCGATTGTTTAGTTATGCCATGCTCATCTCGTTTTCTACGCGGCCTCAGTCCTGCCGTTCTCTGTACGGTGTACTGCTCCTATGGTTGATAGCGCATTGACTCGTCATTCTGTAATGTCTTGTTCTCGTCCTTTTTGGCGGTTTGTCACTGCCGTGTCAGTCAGTCTGTCAGTTATTGGCCTTGTCACGGACGGTACAAACTCCTGGGCTTTGACAAGTGCCATCGTTCATCACCGAGAGGCCTCGCCCGCGTAGTCGACGGATACACGTCCAAGTCCACGCCTGCCGGGCCTATCTTCAGCCCAGAGCAGGGGAGTCGAGTCCAAAGTTTTTAGTGTGGCACCAACCGACATGGGGGCGTCGTCCAAACCCAGGGACGCAAAGACGCTTCATGGAGCAGGGGTCGGGACTGACGCCGGGGCCGGGGGGGCCAGGATTCTGAACTAGGGGGTGTGGGATGAGATGGGATGGGTTGCGAATGGGACGTGTGGATGCCCGGTGGATGTGAAGGGTTCACTTTCAATTCAGGTTCGCTCAGGTGGGTGCAACCATCCTACCACCCTGCTCCTGTCCGTCCTGTGTCCTCGCCCTCGCACTCACTCACGCACTCATGCACGCACTCATACATACTCCAAGCTGGAGTCGGAGACTCGGAGGAGTCCAGCTGCTGATGCCGCTGCTCACTGCACAAATCCCCCAATGTCACTCAAATCCATCCTCGACATGTAGTGTAGTTTCCTCCCCCCCTCTCTTTCACACTCGCGCAGGCGCTGTGCTGACATGGATACACCCTCATCCACACATAGGCTCTCCTCTCACTTTAACTCTCACTCTCACAGCCTGCTTGTCCCCTCGCTCAGCGCCGGCCACGTCCGCTTCTCCCGCGGCACCTCATCCTCGTCCTCATCCTCATCCTCATCCCAAGGCCCAAGGTTTGGTCTGGGTCTACCTGCATAGCTCAGCACAGTCTACCCGTATGGATACATACACAGTCTGTGCCTTATGCACAACTGACCGCGGCTCGAGCCCTGTCATGTCCTGTCCTTTCCTGTCTCTCCGCTGCTTTGCTTACCTTACCTTACCTTAGCTTTGCTGGCTTGCCTTGTCTGCCCTGCCCTGGCCCCTAGAGACCCTCCATGACCCTCCCCTTTCTCTTCCTCCCAGGGCCCGAGAGTCAAGAGAGTTGACCCCCTTGCTCCCTTGGTCTCCCGATACCTCCACCCAAATATGATCTTCTTACTGCCAAGGGGGGGGGGGGTACCCGGTGGACGACGAGAGAGGGCCCCCCTTCTTGCTGCTCGCCCATGCCCTGCCGCCACCCCAGCGCCTACCTACACAGTACCGCGCGACTTACACCCACGTCGGCTTGCACACGCACACGCACACACTCTCTCAGCGCTCTCGCTCTGTGATGATGGGTCGACAAGACACATCAATACATCTTCCGCCTCTCACCCCCCTCCTCTCCCGTCACTCCTTCTTCCCACTCCTCCTGTCATTGTTTTTTGTGCCCTTTCTCTCTCGTCAAGCCTCGTCTGTGCGCCTACAGGCCCTTGCCTAGACAGATCGACTATCTCGCCCTCAAGACCTTGGAGGACTTGAGCAGACCTTGCTGTCTCACCTCTGCGCGGCCCTGCCTGACCCTTCCTCATCCCGCTTGTCGTTCCCCATTCGATCTAAAAGCAGACAAGCTCCCCTCGATCTGCTGTTCCGATTCCCGCGCCTCTCTCACACACCCACGCTCTCTCTTCACATCTCTCTTAATATCACCAGGCTCTCAGCCCTCTGACCTCAGTCACTCTTTCACTCAACTCTCTGGTTCTGAAGACTTGGTCCTGCGGCGTCTAAACACTGCCGAGAACATAATACGCATGCCTATCCCCGTTATTACACTGGTTCTACACTCGCTCTGCACACATTCGTTACCGTCGCCATCGTGTTAACCACCGAGCCCCCCCGTTGAGCGGTCTACCCTCGAGCTTAGCCAACTTTGTCACATCAGTAGCTATGGCGTTCTACCCAAACTACCAGACTGCGTCAGCATACGATTATGGCTTCAGCACTCCTTTCCCCGGAGCACCTCTGTATCAGAGTGACTACATGGAAATGCTACGACAGCAACAGGCAATGATGAGCCGGGGCCTGTACCCATCAGCCGGAGGAAAGGCTACCGAATCCAAACCGAGACTTGCCAAGGATGAGGTCGACAAGCTTGAAAGGGAATTCCAGAAGAACAACAAGCCCAACAGCAGCTTGAAGAAGCAGCTTGCCGAAGAGATGAGGGTGGACATTGCGAGGATTAATGTACTTTCCCCTTCAGCCTGGTTTCCCGAAATATATCCACTGACAGATTGTAGAACTGGTTCCAGAATCGGCGAGCAAAGGCGAAGCAGGAGAAGAGAACACAGGAAAATGAGGCTCGCCGCAAGTCTGAACAGGCCACCGAGACGTCCACAAGCTCCGAGACTATCAAGGAGTCCTTCCACGACCACGACGACGACCTTCGCCCGTCTGCTGCTCCATTCCCACCCGTTCACGTATCAACCGACGCGTCGTCTGTTAGCGAAGCATCACCCTCGGCGGAAGGAACTCAGACCCCAGAGCCCACATTTGAGCAGCCGCAGGTCGTTACGCAAGAGCCGGATTCAGAATACGCCTCGCCCGACTCATCCAACTCTTTCCAGCACCAGGATCTCAACATCGGCTACTCCCTTGGTCCCGATCAATTCTACTCTGGCCAGACACCCTGCGATTTCTCGGCACCCATGCCTTCAGAGGTCATCCAACAAACACCTAACCACTTGACTCTTTCGATTCCCAGCCAGTACTTGACGACACAGCTTCCCGAGTCAACTAGTGCCTCTTCGTTCTCGTCTTACCACCTGAGCGCAAGCGACATGGACGAGTCTTTCGCTTCTTTCCCGCACGGCCTGGCTACCGGCATGACTAGCCCCATTCCGATCAACGTCAAGCAGGAGCAAATGCAAAGCGAGGATCTCGACAAATTTGATCAGTTCTCTCCCCAGTCAATGTCTCGCTCCCCTCCCGAAATCTCCACACCAGACTTCCGATTCAAGTCTGGCTCGACCATCGACATTGCCAGCAGAAGAAACTCCAAGAGGCCCGCTGCCCTCGTCAGCTGCGTGCGCAGCCAGTCCTACAACTTCTCGGGCCCGAAGACCGGCATCGAGATGCCCAGACGTATGGAGGCACCTAGTCCGATGCGCCGCGTTGCATCCGCGACAGGAAACTTCCCGAGGGGAATCCAAAAGCCGGCCGGTTCAGGCCCGAGATCGCCAATGTACTTTGACCGTGCCCAGGAGAACCTCCTCTTGCAGATGGCCTCAAGGTCACCGATATCGCGAAGCCCAGCAGCGCCACCAACCCCAAACACACCAATTGTCCCCAGCCAGCAAGCTTTGCGTGAGACCACCGTCTCATCCATGTCCTCGGCCGAGGATGACAAGAGCTACAGCATGCAAAACAGCCTGACAGTACCGCAGTATGCCATGGACCCTACCATGAGGACCCCGCCAGACACCCCCGGCATGATGACGACGATGCCGAACTCTCTGTTTCCCGCGTTCGACTACAACGTTTCCGATGAGCCGCTGTCGACCCCAAGCTTCGGCAGTTTTGATCAGGAGTTCCCCAACATGTCGTCGAGCGTCCCGAGCTATGTCGCACACGGTTGCGCAAGCCAGCCAGTCACACCTTCATTCCCTCCCAACAACATGGGACCGGCATTCTACTCATCGTACGGCGGTGGCAACACCGAGTACAACTGGTCGGATGCCTCATCCGTCTCAGTCAAGCCGTCACCCGAGCAATCACGGTCAAGACAGTTTCAGTTCACCAACATGACTGCACAAGATTTCCACGGGGAATGAGGTGTCGTTCAAAACGTGGCTTGAACCTTACATCGGCCTTGCTGAGTAGAGTTTCGAGGGGGTTCGATTTGTCATCGCAGCAGTCAAAAAAACTTGCTCATCATGTATACTTGGCGCTGTACAACTACCCAGGTTTTTCTACTGCGTGGATTTTCACTTTGTACATACAGCGATTTGCTTTATCACTGGGCCATCGGCGCTTCACCGGGACAACCTTTATACTTGGACTACACGGGTCCTCCTTCTCCTTATTTTTGTTTATCTCTCTTCGTCTGCAGCAACGATTTTCCTTTCTCATGATACCTACTGCATACACCAAAGAAACAAATCTCTTTACCTAATGTAATGATATACATACGGCTTATGTCCTGCTGGCGGCGGCGCTGTTTGTGGCTGGGGAGGGTGGGGGAGGAAAAAAGGGACCTGGATATCCCATTGGAAGCACAGGACAGGTGGTGGGATGGTTCGAGGTTACGTGTCTTCAATCGTGTTGGGTCGGAATATGCCATCAACCTCTGAAGTGTTCGCGGCGGCGTGAGGGGAAGAACTCGACCCTGCATGGATGTCGCAGAGCAGGTCAGCACGTATAGGATTGCAAAGTTCGAGGTGCAGGATGGGCTGGGTTGGGCTTGGATAGATGGATGGATGGGAAGGATAGGATAGGGCGTTCATCTTCCAGCGATCTACCTCGAGCTTCAGGTTAGGAGACGCCGAACTTCACCTTTAGGGAGGTCCAAAATCAAAAAAGTATTTGCCGCACAGTCCACCGGGCACCCTGTTCGCTTCTGGCGATTATCAGATGGAATCGCTTGCCCGGTGTAGTCTCCACCCACACCGAGGGTATCGCGCCTTCCCATGAGTGTCGTATGGTATATAAGGGGTCAGATGTGCCCGTCCTTTCGCCCACCGGACGCGGTGGGACATGGGACGTCGACGGGCGTTGAGCCGCAGTAGCCGAGCGGGTTGTAGTCCAGCTGGTAGAAACTTGAATCTTGAGACAGAACTGCCCTGATAGTGATGGTTTCATAGGAGCTCGAACCTCGCAGGTTCGAGCTCTGAACTTTTGCATTTTTGACTAAATAACCATTTGCCATTTTCACGTATCTGGTCGGTACATTGCTTGAGAATGATTGCTTTTTGTCAAATGAGTGTTTGGAGGCGAGTTATAGATGATGAGGGTGATTGCACCATAGTAGAATTGCATCGCGATGCCCGGCGTGGTGTTGTTTACTTTTTGGGGGCGGGGGCATCCCGCGGCAACGGCAGGTCACGTTACCTGGGTGAATACACGCTGGCCGTATTTTTTCAAACGAATATTCGCGACTGCCCTGGCATCACAACTGGCAGGAGCAATCTAGTGTACTATGATTCACGTACCTTTCTCATACTAAGGTAAGGTGAGGTACTTCACTCATGTGATGCATCCATTCGTGAGCTCCGCGAGCGCTTGAGTAAGCCAATTTGACGTCCAAGGCTGCTCATATCCTGCTTATGGGGCCATGGACTACGAAATGCATACTGTTGATATGCTACATGCTTCCACTTATCTGCTGGCTCCTTTCACATGCTTTTGAATCAATTTCAAGAGCCTTACATTCGCAACTAAGCGCGTCCGACGATGGATAGAGGTGAGGTCAAGAGAGGTGAGGTCGCAGCAGAGTTCCATTGAAGAACATCGGCCCCACTCTTCCGAAAGTCAATTGGGCCAATGACACCCAAGCGGTCATTTTGCGAGGAAGGTCCCTCCCCCTCGGCATTGGGTTTTTGGGGAAAGCGGTTCGTGTGGGGAAAGGGACAATGTCAAACCTCCCGTCGCTGCCCACTGCGCTGCAGGAATGCGTCCGATCTGCAACGTCTTTCTTCGATACGTCTCTTCTTCTTTCTAATTCTCCGAAACAAAGACAAGGCTTGGGGGTTTTGACTTTCGCATTGAGTTGAGTTCAAGATCTATCCACATTCCTTCGCGCGCTCTTTGTTCGACCACATGGTCCGAGGAATGCGGGCGATACCTATTCACATTCCGATCAGTTTCTGCGTCTGGCACGCGGATACACTAAGACCAAGCACCAAAATCCACGTTTTGGCTAAGCTTACCCGCCCCGAATACCACGTTGAAAACAAGACACACACAGCCTTCCGCCTTCCGCATTCCGTTCTGCCACTGGAACGCTGGAACTCCTTTTCCCCTCGTGCCATTTAGGCAAAGACCAAGGTACTCACTCGGACTGGGTTATCGGAGACATCGAGAACCCCGAGCTAAGACCAATCAAGGTAAGCCAAGGTGGATGTTCGTTCATTCAACATTCCCAATCGCCCCCGAATCTGCCAATCTCGCTCTCTGTCTTGTCCCAGGGACACCCCAGGTTTCCCCCCCGCTCCCCGCATCAACCTCCACCGGCTTCCTGTCACGTCGACAATCGACTGGATTTCTTCTGCCGTTCACCACAGCCGGCATCCACTGCTACCCACGCGGAGAAGGCCCTGGTCGGTGGCAGCAACTCCGAAAGAGGGCATCATTACCACTCGATGGGGAGTTGCTAGACCGCTTCTGGTGCGATCACCCTCTTCATATCTGCTTTTCTAATGCGGAGAGGAGAAAGCACCCGGAGTTGTCCCGTCTCTGGGCAACAAAAAGTCCTGGCCGTTAACTCGCATCGGCCCCAGGGCGCGGGGCCCAAGTAGTGCCTCACGCCTTGGTTACTTACTTGGGGCGATGACGGAGGGCCGGCAACCTTGCGAACGTCTCTTATTCGATCTCCGTTGGCTATTCCCCTCGCCATGTAGAGAAGCGAATTGTGTCGGTCCGATAGACCCCAGTTTCTGATTGCCGTCTACCCTTGTCGAACGAAATCTCGTGGCCATGTTTTACTAATGGGGTGCGATGGCGTAGTACCTGAGTAGACAATCTCCTTCGGCATGAAGAGGTTGCGATATAAAGAGGGTTCTAAGGCCCCTGATGGCCAATCTCCCCGTTTGCCGACACCCAGGCCACAACCGGATCGATATCAGCTGCTAAAGAGAATGGCTTTCTTTGTGTACTTCCTAGCTACGGTCCTGTACCTATCCGCGCCGGTATGGTCCGCCGCTATCCGTGGTAGAGACAACGGTCCCGTTGTCACTGTAAAGAATGGCTCTTACTCTGGCATTCACAGCGCAGAGTATGGCCAGGACTTTTTCCTTGGAATGCCATACGCCAAGGTAGGTGGCTGTAACCTTGAGTTGATGGCGACATACTGAACATTTTAGACTCCTGAACGATTCCGCATCGCCCAAGGCCTAGACTCAGCATGGAACGGCACGCATACAGCCACCGAGTACCCAAAGCATTGCGTTGGTTATGGCTCCGACATGATTGGCTATGAGTCTTCGGAAGACTGCCTGTATCTCAATGTTGTTCGCCCAGCCGGTATCGCTGCCGACGCGCAGCTTCCCGTAGCTGTGTGGATCCACGGAGGCGGCTTGGTATGTTCTTTTGCCGGACCTTCGCGAGAACCACTGCTGACAGTGATAAGTACATGGGCGGATCAGCAGACAGGCGATACAACCTCTCCTTCATCGTCGAGAATAGTGTCAAGCAGGGTACTCCCCTCGTTGCGGTCAGCTTGAACTATCGTCTATCCGTCTTTGGCTTTCCCGGTGGCAAGGAGGCCCTTGATGCTGGCGCGACCAACTTGGGTTTCAGAGATCAGCGCCTGGCTCTGCATTGGGTCAACGAAAACATTGCCAGCTTTGGCGGCGCCGCCGACAAGGTTGTCATATTTGGTGAGAGCTCAGGTGCTGAGAGTGTCGCTGGGCAAGTACTGGCCTACAACGGTAAGTTGACACCATTCGCATGCGAGATATACTTCACGACTAACATTTTCAAGGACGGGATGACGGCCTCTTCAGAGGCGCGGCTGCCCAGTCCGGCTTCGGAGGGCTCATCCCCCGCATGGTCGGTGGCTTCAACTCCACTGCCTACCAGACCAACTACGACCTCTTTGTCGGCAACATCTCCTCTTGCGCTTCCACTGTCGGCACTCAGGAGTCGATAGAGTGCCTGCGCACAGCACCTCTGGATGAGTTCAATGCCGTGCTGAACGCAACCACGTCACCCTTTAGCTTCATACCCATGAAGGATGGCGACTTCCTTGCAGACTTTGCGACGTCGCAGCTCGAACGCGGAGACTTTGTAAAGGTCCCCATTCTGATCGGATCCAACTCGGATGAAGGCTCCGCATTCGGCCAGGGAAGGGGCCCGAACGGTGGACCGATCAACACTGATGAGGACATGGCGTTTGCCGTACGCAGCATCATGGCTCCCAATGTCGAGGAGACCACGGGCCAAAGCATTGAGGAGCTTGTTGATGAGGCACTGGCTCTATACCCCGATGACCAGGCCGTCGGCATTCCGAGCTTGCAGACGTGGCCACACATCATTCAGCCCGGCGAGGAGATTGCCGTAGCTCGGGGTCTGCAGCAGAGACGCGGCGGGGCTTTCTTCGGAGACATGTATGTCCTAATGACTCTTCGGTATAAGGCCTGTGTGTACTGACATTCTGGTAGGTTCTTCGGCTTCCTCCGGCGCAGGGCCAACATCATATGGTCCCAGAACGGCGTGCCGTCTTACGCATATCGGTTCGACGTTACCGTGAATGGAGTTCCAGAGTACATTGGCGCGACTCACTTCCAGGAGGTAAGTTTGTTGATTGTGACGTGGCAAAGACATTCGCGGTTCATCAGCTGTTGTGCAAAGACTTACCCCCACCCAGGTCGCATTCGTATTCAACAACCTCAACGGCCTTGGCTACGACGTAAATCCTTTTGGAGGCAACAGCACAAGCTACACTGAGAAGGCCACCGCGCTGTCAAAGACCATGTCCGCAGCGTGGGTCAACTTTTTCGTCTCTCTTGATCCCAATGGCGCTCCGGGTCTTGGCGAGTGGCCTGCCTACTCAACGGAAGGCGGTGCATCTGGCAGCGATGTGGTGTTTGGCCTCAATGGCACTGTGTTGGAGACGGACGACTGGCGGGCGGAAGGTATGAGTTGGATGATTAAGCACGGGCTCGACATCTTTGGGAATTGAGTTTTTCCTGGCTCATACGACGCGTTCAGTACGTGTTGGATAAAATAAGGTACATACTGTGTAGACATCTACACATCTTATCTGCCTGGCGATATGTACATAGGCCATTTAGTACGTTCATTCGAGTATATTCTATACGAACAACTCCACCTCCCAAGTTCACAACAAACCAATCAACCTACTACGGCTTGAGAGTCAACCCTGGAACTGCCTCGACAGGCCATGAGTTCCTGATCTCCTGCATCGGAAGGAATGGGCAGTAGGATCCTCTCAATCCTTTGATTAACTTAAACTACGCATAGGCTAACCGAGACTTATTGCGGCGTATAAGAGAGGACTAATGTACACCTGAACACTATCCAGTTCCAATGAAACATCGTCAAATCTAGAGTCTAAGAGGTCCCGCTATAAGCGAGCAAGAAGGTGGAGTTTTCCGCCCGAGAGTTATACGTTGGTTGGTTGGAGGAGCAAGCCGATGTCTTGAAGTCCCCGTCGCTTTAGCCGCGGCTATGCCCGCCCTCGAGCTAGTTGCCCGACGAAATTAATAATCAACAATCATACTTTCCATCTACTAGTAATTACGGTAAGTTGATGTTGGATCCTGCCCTCGTTCATCAGTCTTGTTACCCTAGAGGAATATCGTGGGCTGACGTTCGCCCACTTTTCTCTCTCTATCCCCCCTGTCGCAGCCCTAGGCCGTGCCACATTGCCCGGGCGAAGGCGGCTCGGGTCGATCCTTGAAGATCTGGGGGGAGGGGGAGAGGGATTGTGCATGATGATAAAATGAAATTCTGCATCAACACGAAGTCGTTTTTTCCCGCATCCTTTGATGGAAATTGCTATGCTGTTGTCGGAAGCCACGGTCGGAGGCACAGGATTGTGTTGGACAGCGTAGCTTGGTAGAAGCTTCACTCAGCTTTGATGGTTGAGTACCTCATCATGTTTCCTCGGTTGGCATTGGATATGTTGACCAATTTGCATTACTTATGTTGGCTTTCAACGGGACTATACCATCTCCTCGGTCTTTATGTCAAATACCCACACCGTCGGAAGGATTCGAATTTCTATCACAAAAGCTACTTATTCCTTCCGCCCCCGTCAACAACACCCCGTATGCCCGGCGGAATCCTTAGCCCCACTGGTACAAAAGTCTAAACAGTCCCAGCCCTATGCCTTACAGACCAATCGGCTACCGTGGAGAGGACCGCAGTAGGAAGCTGGTGTCTTTCTCTCTCTCTCGCGCGAGATCGTCTGGTATTGCCAAGAATATAATTGGGAATCCTCGAGACTGCAGAATGTCATGATCTAAAGGCCCGCAGTGCTTCTTGGCGCTTACATTTGTCTCTGCTAAGCCCTTTTTGCGGTTGACGATACCTTCGGAATTCTGTTACCTAAAAGTCGAGTTGTCAGTTTTTTTGCCCGGCGTATGAGAGGCGAAGTAAGTGTAGGCAGGGCTAGACAGGGCTGAAGATGTACGAGAACTCGTCAGGAACTTTTGATCCAGCTATCATGAAGTGTCCACGGGCTCAGATTCCTATACGAGACGAAGAGTGAAGTATAGATGACCAGCGTCTACTCTTGCAAGTCTCTGGACTATATAAACACGTCTTCTTTGCTCTATTCCACGATCTATCTCCCTCATCAACTCACAACAACAACTTCTTCAGATCAGACACCAGAGCTACAAACTCCAACTCAATCTTCACCTTCCACCTACAACACTTCCAAGATGCTCATCACCAACATCCTCACCGCCGCCACCACGGCCTGCGCCATCTTCGCCCCCGCCGCCGCGGCCTACGACATGAGAGTCAAGAAGTACGGCAAGACGGACTGCTCCTCGTCCGGCGGCGGCAACCTGGACTGGAACGCCAACGAGTGCCACGCCCTCTACAGCACCGACTGGGGCATGAAGGTCATTGACTACGACACCAAGTGCAAGAGTAAGACGATGCAGCCCCATGAACCCCCGAGAACAAAGTGAGAAACAGAAACATCTAACCACGAGTATGGGTAAATAGTGAGAGGATACAACAACGGAAACTGCAGAGGCAGTGCGGTTACTGCTTTCAGCACCAGGCAGTGCCATTCTTTGAAGGGAGTTTGGTCCGTTCGTGTGGAGTGCGAGTAAACGGTTGCAGGATATAGGGCATTTGTAACAGAGACTTGGACGCGGAAGGATGAGATAGATGGGGCCTACTTGTTACGGCATTAGAGTGAAGGGCACATAGACTTCGCGCACACAAGAAGCCGTTTCAAGAACTGTTCCCATCTGCAAGGTGTTCGAAGCTTCTTTGAGTTGAGGAGCGATGAATGACTTTATACTCTGCATTCCCAGAATGAGAAGCTAGCGCCACTGTGTAAGATTCATAGATGAATATGCCGTTTGATCATACCGTATTATGTCTATCTCGTGCCAGAGAAATAAGTGGCCATTCTGTCTAGTTTGTTGTTGCTCGAATCGACGAGTGATTTCTACTTTTTGTGAGATTATTACGTGTAAGTCTGGTTCATAAAGTGTGTCGACACCTTTTGGTACTTCTTCCTTGGCTTGGTCATAATGCGTCGTCATTGAACTACACGTTGGTATGACTTGATCTTTCTAAACCGACAAATAGCCCAGAACAGGCAAGACAGGGCCATCAACTCCAAGAAAAACACAGCCAGTATCCCGCTCCATCGAACTTGACTGAGAAGCGTGCCAAGAGATACTACACCATGGCGCCCAAACGTCAAGCCAGTCGCCGGACGTCCCAAGTGATCTAGATACCAGAAGTGTTTTGGGTCATGTATACAATCTCCTACAGTAACCGGTTGGAAGCCCTTTTGTAGGAACCCATCTAGTAGATCGCCGATACTGTGACTGCTCTCTTTTCGAAACCCTCGTATCGGGATGAGAAAAGAATCTCGCCCGGGGTCTGCCGCTTGTAGTCTGTTGAAGAGAAGCGTAGTCTCCGTATTGTTACTCATGTCCGCCGGTCCGCCGTCCCAAAGTACCAGTCGCTGGCCATTTATCGTCAACTTTTCAACGCAGGCGTTCCGTACTGTGCAATCGACCGGGGACGACCAAATGTACTGTGGTCGAAGGCCTTCAGAGGAGGAGGAGGAGGCTCCGAGAACCGTGGAAATCTTCTGGCGGGCTTTGAGGAGATCGTCATGCTCCACGCTGCTGTGAGGATGACGACTCGAGGTGCTGAATCCAATCAGATGCCCGTTTTTGTGTATACTCTGTACTGCAGATTCCCCGTCGTCGTCTTCTATTGAATCTGCGGTCCATGGAGTGCTACGTAGGAAGAAGGAGGCTTGTGCATTTCGCTGGGCGAACAGTGTCAGGATTTCATCCTTTTCGGTCCAAGAGTCGTCATCGAATGTGAATGCCACTGTTCCCGGAACCTTGGAATTATGTCAGATTTGGGTATACTTTTGACGGAGGACTCAAGTGGTTATGTGACTTACAGTACATTTGCGGATGACCTGACCGTGTTTTGACAAGATTCGGGGACTCATCATTATCTTTGAGCCGATTCAGATGCGCTCCTCAACAGACTTTGAATTTTGAACCAGCGAGAATTCAGGAACTCTGGAAGATGAATGGCATGGAGCGAGAGGCCTCATAGGCGGGTTTGCCCCCATTCACTTCCCGACCCCTACCCTCATCCCTTCGGCATTGCTCCCGGCAGAATTTCTGTATTTTTTGTCTGAGCAGCAGTAACTGATCCCAGCTCACACGTGTTTTGTAATCTTCTCCGTTGTCGCCAAGTTGTGTTGCATCCCACGCGGCAGCATCGCTTGGCCACGTCCCCCCCTCTTTGCCGGCCCGAAACTCTAAATAAATGAAGTAAGCCCTGATATGATGGGTTCCAGACTGTTCACTGGCCACCCCGTATAAGCTTACGGATCCCGGTTTACTGTGTAGGGGTCCAATGGAACCTCCGTTGCCACGCCGGTGGCTGGGCGCCCCGACTTGTCTGCCAATACCTGCCGTAAAGAGGGAGAACCCGAAACCGTCACTTGCATTTTTCCCAGCTTGGACTGCATGAGGCTAGAAGACTGCGATATTCTCGTACACGGCGATGCCGTTGGTCGATGGCGAAATCGCAGGGGATGGGCGCCAAAACTTTCTGGTTCCGTCTCCTGGCTCCGCTGCTTTTTTTTTTCTCAGACTGAGTGGCACGTAGAGTGTTATCTGCTTGGCTGTTTTCTTCTCAAACTGAGTGGCGGGTAGATTGCTATCTCCTTGATCGGCTTCTTTCCTCTTTTGGATTCAAGAAAAAGCCCTATACGCTTTCGTAAACATTTTCCCGGCAAGTATAGCATGAGCGCAGAGTGTTTGATTTACTGTCTAAGAAGTTGTCGCATCCACTATCACAGAGACCATCACCTTGTCAACCAACTCTGACTCCTCAGTGTAAGCAATCCAATTACAGAAGCCCAACAGACAAATGTGAAGTTGGCAACTGTAGAGAAACAACAGTACTGCAGTTTCTTCCTCAATCTCGAGTACGAATCCTCGGTTCTTAGTAACCGGGTCTCGTCCGACTCTTTGACGTCTCCTTCGACGGCTATGTTACTGTCGCTCTCATGAAGAGCATCCGCCAATAACAGAGTACTGAACCAAGTGGCAAACACGACGAGACAACCCAGATTCATAAATGTAACCCACGGAGAGAAGTAAAAGCCCCGTAGCCACGAGATCACGATACTCAGGTATGAAAAGTTGGCAAACCCCGCGCAGAAAATCATCAGCATGGGATGATAGTCCGGCGTTCGGGCATTCACCTTTCTCCTGCCACCTTGTTTCTCCAGGTCTCCGGGCAGCAGTAGCTCAGGCTCGCTCGAACACGGCCGAGCAAAGCATCGAGCGAAGAACCTCACCGCATCGCGAAAGGCTAGACGAACAAGCCCGAGCATCCAATAGGTATGGTTGCTCCTCTCCCAGCGAACGTACATGAGGAAAGCCTTCAGAAACGTCTCGGGCGCGACCGTGTAGCCAACAGCGTTGCTCTGATACTTGAGACGCCAGCCATCGCGCAGGAGTCCCATCGTGAGCTGGACGTCCTCGCCGTGCCTCATCGGACGCCCGAGGAATCTCGTGTCCACAAGGGCCTTGGTGTGCGGCAGGATGGCCTCTCTGCGGAACGCGGAGATGGCGCCTGGGAGAATGGTGACGAACCCGTGTTTTGACTGCGCCGCTCGCGGGATGTTGCCATTTTGTTCAAAGAGGCAGTCAAGGATGCGAGGGATGAAGCTGTCCCACCCTTGAGATTGGATGTTGAAGACGGAAAGGTGCCCGGCGACGCCTCCGACGTCGCGGTCTAGGACGAAGGGACTGACCAAGTTCCGGAGAGTATGCTTGTCGAGAATAGTGTCGGAATCCAGGGTCACGAGTATCTCGTTGTTGGCCACTTCAAATGCCGTGACCATAGCCTGGCGTTTTCCACGGTTGATTTCGTGTCGGATTGTTGTATATTGAGTCGAAGACTTTCGTGGAAGTGCGTGTTGTATGTGAGACCAGGTATCATCCGACGAGCCGTCATCCACAACGATGATGTGGACTTTGTCTCTGGGATAATCTGAGGACAACACGGAGGATATTGAGTTCCTCACGAACTCAGACTCGTTGTACGCCGGAATAACGACGTTGATAGATGGCAATCGGCCATTGTCCTTGAGCCCCTGGATGGGTTCATACTCAGCCCAGCGCGCAACGACGACTAAGAAGTTGCACAGGAGGATGCAAGAACTGAGTTGTAGGAAAATTTCGTAGAAGCTTAGTTGAGGCTTTGACTTTACTGCAATATACTGGAAAGTCACAAACGTAAGAATCGTGCCCAAGGCAACCAGGCGGCCAATAGTCGCCCGAAAACAAGAAGCCGTCATCTTCGTTCGGTGAATTACTTTGCGAAGCGCAGAATACAACCTCAACCTCGCAATATTTGATCTAACAGCGGCTTTCAAAGTCTTGATAATTCGTGTCTTTACACTGCGGAAAATGTCGTCCCCTTTAGGAAGTCTTCCGAAGCGGGGACACCGTGAATCTGGACCCCTCTGATATCCCCCTCAGTATTGATTGCCACTCTTGATCGACATATAGTGGAAACATGACCCGGCATGCAGGTGATCAAGGATACCGTCACGATCTGGATGGACCCTTAGATGCGACAACATGAATCGTTAAAGCACTTCACCGCCATCTGCTTTTGCCGCTGTTGACAGCGGTGTGGCCGGGATGCTGCTTGGTACGACGTTGAGGTGATCCAGAACATTCTTCTTGAAACGGCGGCAGTGAGCTCCTCTATCACGCGAGACAAAAGTTTAATCTGAAAGGAGGAAGTGACCTAGACTTGGTTGGTAGCTTTTCGTTCTATACCTTATGTAGTCGTGGCCAGCACGAAAGTCTTGACTTGATCGAGACAAGCAGCTTCTTCTCTACAGCCCAAACAGTCCGTAGACAAACCCTTTACACAACATGACCCAAACCTTATCAACAAGTCTAATGGCATGTCTGCTCCTTCTTTCAGTTGGAGTGGACAGCCACACGCTTATGCAGAACCCCATTCCCTTCCCAAGTCAACTCCGAGACAACGGCCCAGTAGCCAACGATGGCTCAGACTGGCCATGTAAGGGCGAAGTGGATTACGATTGGTCCGGCGTAGCCAACATCTGGGAAAGGGGTTCAAAGCAATACTTGCAGTAAGTTGACCACTGGATAGACTAGCACTGAAGTAAACGTATTGACGACTTGCATAGGGCCATGGGAGGCGCTTCCCACGGCGGCGGCTCGTGCCAAATCTCGGTGACACGGGACCTTAAGCCCACAAGGAAGAGCCAATGGAGAGTTATCCACTCCATAGAGGGCGGATGTCCGATCCGTAACCTCACCGAGGTCAACTACGGAGATTCTCCCACAGTTGTCCTGCCCAGTCTCTACAACTTCACCGTCCCGGACTGGCTGCCCGTAGGACCGGCCGTCATGGCGTGGACGTGGTACGGTCGCTGGAGCGTTCCCGAAATGTTTATGAACTGCGCTCCCATAGTGGTTCTGGGACAAGAGACGAACGCAGACGTTACCGAACAGGAGCGGGCGGCAAAGTTTGACCAGGCGCCCCTCGTGTTCGAGGCGAACAATGGCAACGGCTGCTGGACACAGAACAAGGGCAGCTGTGTGAAGTTTCCCAATCCTGGCGAGTCTCTCGTGGTTAACGAGGAGTGTCCTCTGTACGAGGAGACGATGTTTACGGGAAAGTGCGGGCCTGAGAGGAGTCTGGGTAACCTTTGGAGCTGGCCTTCACAATGGGCCATCTTCAGCGGCGGTGCCGTTGCTGTTTTTCTTGTTCTCGGGGTCATGCGCGTTGCCAGGACTTGGCGCGGAAGGCAGAAATACGGGCATCGTAAGCTTGTAACTGACGATGCCTAACTTTCGCAATGGAAGCTTTGAGCCGTCTGAGGTCGTTTGCCGATGAGAATGTGTAGAGTTCATGAGCATTGAGGTTAATGTTGGGAAAATTCCAGAAACAATATGATCGCGACATCAAGCCCGAAAACGTCTCTATCCGCTCTTGTGTGAGTATGAATTTCTCGCTGACAGATACGATAATTACGTAAGTCGAGCCTTTCGACACAAGTGATGCGTGAACTTTCCCTCAATGTGTAAGGCCATATGCAATTGAGTTTAGAGAACGCGAGCCTTGCACCCAAAGGGTAGCTGTTTCCAGGATGATTAATTCATCGTGTACGCCGAGTGACTAACCCCAAAACTTTCTTATAAGAGTGTATGGCATGGGACCAGGGGTGATTGTGTCCATGTGTGATGCCTGGTAGGGTTGAAAGGGTCAACGGCGTTGAGCCGTCCCGTCGTGTTCTTCACCTTGAAAACAACAATTACCAGCAAGAATCCAGGGGCGAGAAACTTATGGGAGATTCTGAATACGCTTCAGTGAATCAAATTAAGCTTTCACCCGTGATGGAGGCACACAGGGTCCGGCCCTTGGGCCGCGGGCACTACGGTCACACACGCCGGCCAAAACACCCCACTTCCGGAGCAATCGGCCGACCGACAAGACACCCCCGGGCCGAGGTGGGGTTCAAACTTCGCAACCACCTCCCCCCCTCGGGGCCGGCGCATGTGCTGACGTGAGTTCGGACGACTGCCAACTGTGTCCCTTACCGTCTCCTCTCCCCACCTCACCCCTGCTTCCCATTCATCTTCCCAGTAAGCATGTACTCAATTGCGTGATGAGTGCGTGCTTGACCTTAACTGAGCTCCGCGTAATCCAACGCGTATACTTGTAGGAGTCACACCGAACGTCGCAACGTTGACGGCTTCTTTTGGCGAGCCGGATTGTAAATCACGAGCGGCATCCGGATGCAATTGTGATGGTGTACGTTATGACCACGTATGTTCATTCCAAACGAAGCAAGCCTGCCTCGTTGTCGAGACTGTATAACACCCGCTATCAACCACAAGCTTCAGATCCAACTACAACCCATACCATCAACGCTCAACTCTGACTTACAGCGACCCCATCATCACAAAGATAATCCAGACCAAGCTTCAAGAAAATCAAAACACCAAAAACAGCCGCAATGTCCTTCCCACCGCCCCTAATCCCCAAATCCCTCCCCCCAAACGCAAAAATAGCCCTCATCTCCCCCTCCTTCCGCGTAAACACCCTCGTCCCAACCGCCCTCGCCCGCGCCCAAACCCTCCTCTCCTCCCTAGGCTACGCCGTCACGACAATCTTCCAACCCGACAGCGAAGACCTCGACCCCGTCCTCACCGCCGGCGAACCCATTCCCGCCGGGATCCGCAACCGCCTCGCCGAGCTTCGCGCCGCCTTCGCCGATCCCACGGTCGACATGGTCCTCTGCACCGTTGGCGGTTCAACAGCAACGGAACTCATCCCCTACCTCGTGGCAGACGTCGAAATCCAACGCTTGATCAAAGAGAACCCCAAAATATTTGTCGGGTATTCAGACATCACCGTCCTCCACTGGTCCCTTCGCGCCCTCACCGGTCTCCGCACCTTCTACGGCCCCTGCGCCGTCTCGGAACTCGGCGAGGCCGTTACCTCTACGCCTGCCTCCGTCTCCTCGTTCGACTTCTCTCAAGAATACACGGAGAGCAACAAGACAGAGGACGACGGCTACCTCCAAGACTTCCACCTCGCCCACCTCCTCCAGACCCTCAGCACCCCAACCACAACCACAACCACAACCCCCATCCCAATCCCCCGCTCAACCTACTACGCCCCCATCACATGCCCCTACTTCCTCTCCCCCTCAACCCGAACCTCAACCACCCCCGGCCTCCTCCTCCCCTCGGACCTGGCGAGGCAGGCCCACACAAGGCCGCCTCTTCGGCGGCTGCCTAACAGTCGTAGCCCGCATCCAGGGCATCGCTCACATATCCCCGTCCTGGAAGGACAAAATCATGTTCCTCGAGTCCGCGACGGCAGAGGCCGACATGACGAAAGGCAACCCTCTCGCCCGGATCCGCTCGGCGTTCGCGGACCTGGCGGCGCGCGGCGTCTTTGACGAGATTGCCGGCCTCGTCGTCGGTCGAGCCTACGGGTACAACACGGAGCGGGAGAGGGCCGAGTACGCGGCCGTGATTCAGGGCCTCTTGTGTAAGGGCCGGCTAGGGGCGAGCACCAGTTTCCCAATCTTGATGAATGTCGACTTTGGACACACCGCGCCCATCGTGACGCTGCCGATGGACGCGCTGGCGGTGCTAGATTCGGAGAAGGACGAGTTTTCCATCGCAGAGGCTGTTGTGGTCTAGAACGGGCAGCCACTCGAGAGGAGGATGGGCGGGAAGGGGGGCACAGAGAAAACGTTTCATGACATATAGACGGCTGGGTAAAACGAGCCTTTGGGTATTATTTGTATTACATGTTTAACGATAGCTCTCCTAAGCCATACTCGTGTTCAACCTCCCATTGTGTTCCATTCAGGTTCGTGTATGTCATGTAAGAGAGAAACCCCCTTGGTTTCCTTTCCCCAGCCAGCCAGTAGCGATTGAATACCTGTGAAAACCCTCGTAACCAGAAAAAGCACGTGAACCCTCGAGGAAATGACTCCGAACGCTTTGCTGATGCAATTTCTGGGGGGTTCCCCGGTGTGTATGAAAAATGAGGAAAATCTTGGTCGTGTATCGTTGTTGAAGAATAAAAGTGCTGTGTCGACGCGGCTCTGCTACATCGTGCCTAGTCCTTGGTTCGTGTAACTAGATCTTTTGGCACATCGGCACTGCTTTGTGACGGTGAGGGTGCCTGCTGCGGCTCCTGAAGGTGTGCGTCTATAGAGTTGAAGTGGTTAACACCATGTGTCGATTTCTGGCCCTAGTAGAAACCGTCGTTGGTGTTGCTCCTACTACTGGGCGTTGACTGAGCAGAGCTACTAGCGTCACTAGGCGTAGGTGG